AGTTTAAAATAAAAATCCTCAACTATAAACTATAAAATCAGCTGTCCACTCAATAGATATAATTTAAATTTATACTTGAATTTGTTAATATTAAAAATTTTAAAATTATCAGGAAGAGAATTGTATAAAGTGATAGAATTATAAGAAAAACATCTTTTAAATAGGGCGCTACGATGATGTGGCATTGTAAAGGTATTTTTAAATCGGATATTCCTCGAATGAACATTAGAACGCTTAACAAATTTAGTTTTTAATGAATAATAAGAAGGAATGGTTAAAATTTTATGCACAAGATTTCCAAGATGGTGACGTCGACGATTCTCCATGTTGAGCCACTTGATCTCTACAATTTTGTGAGAAATATGATCAAATTTTCTTAATCCATGTACAAGTCGACAACATGAATTTTGAACTTTTTGAATTCTATTTTTTTCTTGTACACTAAGGCATGGACCATAGACATAATCACAGTAATTAAAATAGGAGAGAACAAGTGACTCACATAACATAATTTTAAGTTTTTTATTCAGGATATGACTACTATAAATTAATCTGAGCAAAGAATAAGATTTTTGGAGTAATGTTTTCACGTGCTGATTGAATCGTAAGTTACTGTCAAGAGTCACTGCCAGATTTTTTACACTGTCAGTAATAGGAAATGGAATACCATCAATTATAATATTAAAGTTGAGTTTTAATATTTGTACTTTTTTCTTAGTATAGTAGTAAATATCAAACTTTTTTTTCTATATGCAAAATCTTAAATAAGTTTTAAATTTTTAATTTAAAAACTACTTCCTAGATCTCGGATAGATAGTTAAAAAAAGCATAAAAAATATTACTTACAGTATTTGTAAAGGCATTTACATTAGCATAATTATAATTCATTGACTGCATGCGACCATTAATTTCGCATAAAGCTATTTCCCCATCATTCGGCACTTCGAAAGCCTCTAAATTTCTCATTTTTTTAAAGTAGGATTACTACAAATTACAAAACTAATGCGAATACGAATTGTAAGGTTAGGTTTTACAGGTAAGCTTCTGTTAAACAAGATGCATAAATAATAACTTTAATCCCAGTTTCAGAAACGTGTGGATGGATTAAAAAATATATAATTAAATACGGACGTTTTCACAAAATAAATGATATTTCAATAAAACAAACATGGAGACTATACAAGGAGCCCGAACTCCATGT